GTCCTGGTCCGTTTGCCACCTGAGGTGTCACTGCAGGGGCAGCCTCTCACACAGAGCCCCCCCCGGGAGGGGACGCAGTGGGAGTAGCCAGCATCACGTCCCGTCGCCCGTGGGACTGACGGCACCGAGTCCTCGATCCGGCCTCCCACCAGGCCTGGAGAGCGAGGTTGGAGAAAGTCGCCCGTGGACATTGAAACACCACAGACAGAGCGAGGGACTCCGGCCGTTTGACCGTAATCCCAGGATACGGTGCACCGGCGGCAGACGGCGCGGGGCCACTGTCCTGCAGAGTGCCCGCACTGCCACACCGGGTCTGAGGAGCGTGGGGACAAGAACGACCTTCTGGAGGAAAAGGCACGTCGCCTTGGACCCCAGCATCGAACAAAGCAGAAGAACGCCGCGCTGCACTGAACTCCCCCAGGGGCTGCGCTGGGCCTCGGACGTCGGCCGACACCGATCCCTTGTTCCGCCGACAGGCAGTGCTCGACTCGGGTCTTGACAAGAAAATTAGGAATTTAATCACAGAAGCAATTTTTGGTTCCAGATGCGGCTTCGAGTTAATAAGCAAATGCATTTGTGCTCCAACGCGGCGCTTGCTAATATGTTTACTGAAGTGATGAGAATAATTGCGGCCCTTGAAAGCGCACATCTCTGGATTTGCATATTCAGTACTTTATCCAGAAATAACCAGTGAGGCTCCGGCAATAATTGCTGAAGATATAAATGAGGTAAATGGGGATGCTGTGTTCTTTAAAATCGAGTTTTTAGAGTGTGTTTTATGATATAGATTCCCTTTTGTCATTCACTGGCCAATTTAAACATAAATATTAATAAGAAAAAAAAAACAGAGACCAGAGCCCTCGCTGGGATTAAAAACAAGAGTTCAGTTTCCATAGTTACAGCCCCGTTTCCATAGTTACAGCCCCATGCCAACTGGTCGGCGACAGTCTCGGTGGTTCCGGGGAGACAGGGAGAAGTTGGGGGTCTGCTGTTCCCGCGTTCCCTGCAGCCGGGGTTAGGGTTCTCGGTAGCAGCCCCCCTTCCACGAGGCCACAGCCCCCGAGACCCAGGCCGGGACTCGGAACACGCCCTCTGGCCCGAGGACACCGGGGACGCGCCTGTCAGCCCTCTCCCCCCCTCGGGAACATCGGAGGGGCCACCGCAGGGGGTCATGTCTTCTCTGCTGTCCGTCACAGCTGGGACCCGACCTGCCCCTTTCTCCCGGCTTTTTCCCGCTGACCACACGGCTCTGTTTGCGGTTCCCGTTTTCCTGGGGCCGGGGGGCAGACCCTTCCTGACGCTAACAGGGACGACGTCCCCTTCCCCGGCCGAGGTCAGGGTGGAGCTCTGGGCGGCCGCTCGCCCGCCCGCCCTTGTCCCCTCGCTGGAACAGGTCTGGAAGCGGAGCCAGGCAGAGGCAGCAACTCAGATGCAAGGTCATCCCTGCCTCCGACCTGAGCCCCGACTCCTGGTCCGACCCCAGAGCCCCGCTCACCCCCCGTCCCTTGTTCTGGCATCTGCGTGTCGGGCAGGCAGCCTCCGAGTCCAGGGAAAGTGTGCGTTGAAGACGCCCACGGGGGCTGTGCCCCGCCTCCAGGTCCGGTGTTTCCGGCCTAAGTCACGTGGGGAAGAAGCGCAGGGTCGACGCCAGACGAGGAGAGGCCCCCAGCAGAGAACGTCTTGGGGCACCTCTGGAAAAGCCGTGGGACGCTGGGCTGAGACCCCAGGGTGCCCACAGCTGCGTGGGGCAGCCACTGGGACCTGAGGGGCTGGGGCTGCCGTAGGACAGTCCCGGTCCCCGGCCCCGGTTTCGAGGGTGCTCCGGCAGGCCACCCCTTCAGTTCTGTTACTCGCCAGGTCCCTTTGGACGCCGGCAGGTTTCACCCAACCCAGCCCCAATGGGTGGTGCCTTCCTTCGGGGCTGAAGGCACCTGAGTGGCCGGAGGCCCTGCTCCTCGGGGCCTTTCAGTGACCATCTGTCACCCAATGGAACGTCGGGGAAAGCGCTTGGTGCTTGACCAACCCACTGGGGCCGCCCAGGGCCACCTCCTCCGGCGTCACCAGCAGGTACAGGGAGACCAAACTCTCCTTAACCTTTGAATGGGGGGTGAGGCACCCGGCGGGGACGGGCCACGGGAAGGATAAAACTGCCAGTCATGCCCCAAGACAAACGAGTCTCTTGAGGGCGTCTGAACGTTTGGGTTTCGAGCACGGCCACTGAAGAGCTCCTCTTACCGGGGGGGGGGGGGGGATAACGACGAAGACGTCTCTCCTGGACAAGGTGGCTCCGGTCCAGGGGGACTGGACCGGGGGGGCAGGCTCGGGTGCCCAGCGGATTGTCTTCTGTAAGACGGGGGAAGTGCTCTCTGCATCCTGGGGAAGGTGTTCGTATTCCATCTTCCGGTAGTTTCCCGCGGCCCCCAACACTCCCCCTCGTGGCTACCTGTGCACCTGCCTACTCTCTACCTCCCCGCCTGTGCATTTGTGTGTGTGTGTGTGTGTGTGTGTGTGTGCACCTACCTGTCCTCCACCCACTACCTCCCCACCCGTCTGCTCCGATGTACAAATACTCACACAAACACGCTCTCCCTCTGGCTTCCTGGAGAAAGTTCCCCACATCCTTTCTGACGGCCCCACATTACCACATGTTTATGGTATTTTTCTGCAGTTTCTGAAGGGCAGGAAAAACGTAAGAACAAGCAAGCATATTTTCTTTGGGAACATTGAGAATAATGTCAAATACAACCCTGTTGCTTGTTCCAGTCAAACCCTTGGGGAGACATCAGCCATCGACCACGGCGTGTGTGAGCGGTGTTGTGACTCCCACCCACGTGACCTTACACGCCCACCGGCTCTGTCCGCTGAACCTGTGCGGGCAACACACGGTGGCGGCTGCCGTCGCTCGTTACAACAGAGGCGAATATTTCTGAAACACAGAGGTTCCCTGTGCTTTCTGTAAGGTCTGAGGGGCTGTAAACCTTCAGTTAAAGTGAAATTTTGTATTGGCTACAAGTCTGAACTTCAGAAAACCTTTACGGCTTTAATGAAAGTGCTGGCTCTGGCTACTGAGCAAGGGTTTACACCACGCCCGCGTGTTCGGCGACCCCGCGTGTTAAATGCCTCCCGTGTAAGATGTAAAACCGGTGGACTGATTTAAGTCACCCATCTTCCCGTCCCAGTTACAGGTTGAGTTTAAGTTCCAGCATAACGCCCCAGGCTGTACGTTAACCATACGAGGGACTCGGCAAAGGGCGGGACACTTCATAAACACGTGTGCACGCTGCCAACACAGTTAAGAACCCCCTGCCTGGTTTTCCAACACGTGCCTGGCATGCAGAGACTAACGACAAGAGGCCGTGTCTGCCCCTTTGAGCTCCACACTCCTTACTGGGTGGTCCCTCTCCAACACTGACTATTCATGCAGAGACCCCCCTGGACGACAGACTCCGGTGCCTGGACCGTCCCTCAGTTGCACGGATTCATCGCCCACCGTTCACAGGACGAAGCCGGAAACACGGCCTCCTGACTGGCGGCAGGAAGGCAGTGCCAGCCCCGCGAGCTGGCCTCCGAGTCAGGTTCACGGTCAAGTCTCGGAGGAGAGCCGGCCATCCCAGGGAGGAACCCATGGAGGCTCTGTTAAACGGGTGAGGACTTCGTCGGAAAATGCTGGGAACGTTATTCCAGGGAACCGTCCTGTTAAGTTGATGCGTTCACCTTCCCCCCAAAGCAGGAACTGTGTCCAGGCGTCTGATGATTAATGTGGCTCGTGTGACGCAGCTCCTCGCAGAGTAAATAACCATCTGTGAACCGTCTCCTGTGGCCGGGGTGGGGGGGGAGGAAGACACGGAGGGGCAGGTACCTTTCTCAGCTCTGCCACTTCCCGCCGGCCCCTCACCTGGGACCGTGTTGGGGACACACAGCACAGGTGCAGGCTGGGGAACGTCACCCACCCGGGTGCCGGCACGCAGAGGCCGACCTTCTGACCCCGCGCCGCGCCGGCTGCCGGCAGCAGTGGGCCCCGATGGCCTGCGAGGTGTAGCTGGGCGCCCGCGGCCCGTGACGGCACGGCTGCCCGGCACGGCGGCAGGCCGCGGATGTGGCTGAAGTCTGCATGCTCTGCGGGTTTCCGGCCGGGGCGGCCCAGCGGACCACTTCTGGCGACAGCGTCCTGGAGACGCCCGCTCTCAGGGCTCAGAGGACACGTTTCCAGGGCCCCCGGCACGTCCTCCGAGGCCCTGCCAGAAGGCGGCGGCGCGTGCGGCTTACTAGTGAGCCCTTCCGCACCAGCGCCGGCCCTGGGCCCCGGGGAGCACTCCGTGGATGTTCTGTCGGTGAAGAGCAACCCCCACCCCCCGTCCTCGCCCCCAGCCCCGCCCCCCCCAGCATGTCCACTCGTGTTTGCATCTCAAGGCGTCCGGAGACCAGGGTTTTATTCCTTCCTTCCTCACGTCTCCCTGTGACGAGGGAAGTTCATCAGTGAACGGGTGTTCCTCCCGTAATCTGCAACACACAGACTTCCGCACGAAAAAACTCGAATAGACATCTGCCTGCTCAAGAATAATGAATAATAAATGGTATAACGAAGAGTGCAGTTTGTTCTGTACTTAACGAACCTTCCTGCACACACCCCAGGAAAACGGTAAGGAAGCAGGTTACACTGCAGGCGGTTTTTCTGAACTGCGATCCCCACGCCCCTGCAGACACGTTCACTTTCTTCCCCACCCCCGCACGGAAGTCCATGTTCACCCGTCAGTGGCAACGTCAGTCAGTGAGAACCACTGTGCGCGGAAGAGACTCTGCCCAGAATCCCTTCGACCCCGAGCCCTTCCTGGGACGTGGAGGAGTCTCTGTGCCCGGGGCCTGGCGTGCATGCGTCAGGTCCGGTGAACACCAGGCGCAACCAGAGCTGTGCGCTGCTTCTCCCCGAAGGCATCGGCGTACGGACTCGAAAGCACCCCAGTCTCCACACCGCCGCGTTCGGAACCCGAGGCTCACTGTACCTGTAGCGAGGGGCGGGGCTGCCCCTTGCTTCGCAGCTCAGAGTGACCCCCTTGTCCTCGGACCCCACGGGCACCGTGCTGCTGCTGGGCTCTCGGACGAACACGGGGCCGTGGAAGGGCCCCTCGCCTGTGGGGGGAAAACAGCCAGAAGTGATCCCGGTCAGTGGAAGGTGGCAAAAAGCTGAGTTCCAGCCCCGGCTGGTGTGGCTCAGCGGATTGAGCACCAGCCTGCAAAACCAAAGGGTCACCAGTTCGATTCCCAGTCAGGGCACATGCCTGGGTTGCGGTTAAGATCTCCACTAGGGGGAGCACGAGAAGCAACCACACATTGATGCTTCTTTCCCTCTCTTTCTCCTTCCCTTCCCCTCTCCCTCCCTCCCTTCCCCCGCTCTAAAAATAAATAAAATCTAAAAAATAAATTAAAATAGTTTTTTAAAAAGCTGCATTCCAGAGCTTCAGAGGAAAGGAGGGACTCGTGTCTGCTCTCAGGTTCCCCTCACCGTCACACGTGCCTTCTTTCCTCCCTGGACGACAGCACCCCAGTTCTCCCTGCCCCCCCCCCCCCACTGCTGCCTCTCGCCCCGATGCGCTGCTACACAGAGCAGGCCCGGGAGCGGCCCCTCCAACCTGCCCGGCTGCCCGTGCGGGATGTGTCAGGGGAAGGGAGGGCAGACGGGGCGTGAGCCCGGGGCAGGCGGCCGGTGAGAGGCGCCGAGACACCAGCCGCCGTGCAGAGGTGGCCGTGCTGGGGGACAGGGAAGAACGGCGGGGAGCTGAAATTCAGGGGTGCTTCCTATCACCGGCATGTCGGTGAGACCTGCGGTACTGACCAGTGGGGAGTCCCTTGCTGTGGCTCGCATGCACGTGTGTGCACATGCGTGTGTATGCACACACGTGTGAGTGTCCTGTGCTCCCCATCTGCCATCCTTCATGTTTCGGCACCTGACACCTGCCCCGGACCAGAGTGGGGGGGGGGGCGTTCCGTTCCTCTCAGCTGACACAGTTCCCAGACACACACACACACACACACACACACACACACACACGGGCGCTTAAACCACTTCTGCGCGACGCGTCTTCAAGGGCGCTCGATACTCAGGCGGCCACCAAATAAATCGGTTTGAATAAGCACTTCCTTTGCAGGCGCCGGGGAGGCAATCAAGAGGCACTTTGGAGACAGCGAGTAGTGTAAAAGCTAAATAAAGTTGTGGGTTTTACTTAACCTTCTCTTCGCTGAGCTCCAACAGCATCTCCAAGACCCGTGGTTCTCTCGTTCCCCAGATGCCTTTTTGGCCGCCACGCAGCGCCTGAGGACCCGGCAGGTGGAGCTGTCACCGACCCACGTCACGGGGACACAACGCACCACGCGTCCGCCCTCCTCCTCTGGCTCCGCACGCACGCTCCGAGCGACCGCCGAGGCCCCCGGGGGAAGCGCAACGCCCTCACGGTTGCGGGTGCTGCCAGGGAGGCGTGCGTCGCGTGGACCCAAAGGTGCCGGGTTCTCGATCAGACGCCGGCGCCGTGTCCACGTCACCGGCGTCCGGGCCGTCACAGGGGCCGCACGGCACAGAGACGCAGGGAAGAGACGGCAGCCTCGGGAGCTCCCGTCAGCAGCTCTCGGCCACAGCCACAGCCACGGCCACGGCCACGGCCACGGCCACCAACACGTCCTCAGGGGCGCCAAGGGAGACGCCAGTGAGTGTGGGAACCAGCGGAAATCGGCTCCGCAGCTACTTCAGGGAGAACCGGGGAAGTCTTTCGTCCCTCACAGCGTCCCACCGTCAGCCCGGGCAGGTGTGGCTCAGGGGGGATGGGCATCGTCCCGCAGAGCCAAAGGCCGCTGGTTCGATTCTCGGTCAGGGCAGGTGCCTGGGTTGCAACCGATTGATGTTTCTCTCTCAGAACGTTTTTTTTTTTAATGTGCGTTTATCGATTCCAGAAAGAAAGGAAGGAAGGAAGGAAGGGAGGGAGAGAGAAAGAAGCATCAATGTGAGAGAATCATCGACCAGTGGCCTCCCACATGCGCCCCAATCAGGGGCAAACCCGCAGCCCAGGCCTGCACCCAGACCACTGCCCTGCCTGTGACCTTCCGTCCCTGGGATGACGCTCCCATCACCCCAGCCACACCGGCCAGGCGCACATTGCTGTGTGTGGGTGACACCGAGAGTCAAATCAATGGTGTGGGACACGAGGAAGAAATAAGCATCCAATCAGAACAGGAGAAAGAAAATTTAAAAAACTGAGGATAGGCTAAGGAGCCTCTGGGGCACCTCCAAACATCCGGATCATAGGGCTGCCAGAAGGAGAAGAGGAAGAGCAAGAAGTGGAAAACTTACTTGAAAAAATAATGGAAGAAAACTTTCTGAATTTGGTGAAGGAAATAGACATGCAAACCAGGAAGCACAGAGAGTCCCAAACAAGGTGAATGCAAAGAGGCCAGCTCCAAGACACATCATAATTAAAATGCCAGAGGTTAAAGATAAAGAGGGCATCTTCAGAGCCAAAAGAAAACAGAAGACAGTTACCTACAAAGGAGTTCCCATCAGACTGTCAGATGATTTCTCCAAAGAAACCTTGCAGGCAAGAAGGGGCTGGAAAGAAGTATTCCGAGTCATGAAAGGCAAGGACCTACATCCAAGATGACTCTATCCAGCAAAGCTACCATTTAGAATGGAAGGGCAGATAAAGTGCTTCCCAGATAAGGCCAAGTTAAAGGAGTTCATCCTCACCAAGCCCTTATTATATGAAATGTTAGAGGGACTTGCCTAAGAAAAAGAAGAAGATCAAAACTATGAACAGCAAAATGACAACAAACTCACAACCATCAACGACTGAACCTAAAAAGCAAACACTAAGCAAACAACTGGAACAGGAACAGAACCACAGAAATGGAGATCACATGGAGGGTTAGCAGCAGGGAGGGGAGAGGGGGGAGGGATGGGGGGAGGATGGGGGAAAGGCACAGGGAAGAAGAAGCATCAATGGTGGGTACAAAGGAGACAGAGGCAGGGTAAGAATAGTGTGGGAGATGGGGAAGCCAGACAACCTTTATGCACGACCCATGGATGTGCACTAAGGGGGGTTGCTGGCGGGAGGGGGTACCAGGTAAAGGGGGGCAAAGGGGGAAAATTGGGACAACTGTAGTAGCATAATCAATAAGATGTATGTTTTCAGAAAAGAGTTTCATGTACCCAGCCGGCCCCACCAGGAGATTAACACTGAAGGCAGTGAGACTCTGACGAGTTTGGGATCTCCACGGGCGTCGATCGAGGACTCGCCCACGTTCACCCGAAAACCGTGCTCCCCGGTCAGAGGTCACGGCCCTGCGGCCACACGGCCTCGGGGAGCGGTGGCTGCTTCTCACACGGAACCTGAAGCCGCCGAGATCTCGCTGGGCCTGGGCTCCTTCCGACAGCAGACGCCACGGAACCTTACAGAACAATGTCTGCTCCACCGACGTCCCAGCCGCCCACGGAAGTGCAGCACGCGCCACACCCATGTGCCCTTGGACGCGCCGGGAGCCACATTACACACGGCTGCAAGGAACAGCGACGTTCCTTCTGAGACTATGTTTACTCGACCAAACGCATCTAAAACAGTGTCAGTTCAACCTTTAGTCATTAGAAGGCTGTCGAGATATTTTAGTTATTTATTTATTATCCTTCATCTTCCTGGAGAGAAGCCTGAGGCTCTGCAGCCACTGTACACGGACGCCACCTCTGAGCTGAGGACCGACAGGCGTGTGTCCACACGTGACCAGGGCCCCCCGCCCCGCCGCCCCCGTAGGGCCGAGGGCACCAAGGCTGCGTGCAACACGGCTGGGCGGTGAGCGGGTAGTTAAGTGGGGAATCCAGCCGCCTCCCTGGGGCCTCGGGGGTGCTCAGCCCAGGCCCACCCGCCCGACCTCACGACCTCATGACCTCACGACCTCACGACCTCACGCCAGGGAAGAAGCTGCCGGAGCGGCGGTGAGCACCGGTGACTAGGGCGCTGGGCGTGGGCACCGCAGACAGAGAGAGACCCTGCGAGGGCGGCAGACCGAGAAAGTCCCAAAGCGCTCAGACTGTCTCCTCGTCTCCGAGACGGACGCAGCCCCCTCCCTGAACGTGTGGGAACCGGAGGGGCCACGCGGAGCTCCCCTGTCCGTTCATCACCTGGTCACCGTCACCAAGGTCACGGCCGTTGCCAGCACTTTCGCCCCCAGGGAAGGCAGGGAACACCACAATTAGCGAGCGTTGGCTTCGTTTACTGGGCCCGTGTCCCGGCTGCTCACCGCCCTACAAGTACGTGAACTGGCCCCGCACACAGAAGTAAGGGTCCCAGCCCCGCCGGGGGGGTGGAATAATTCACGTCGTAATGTGCACCTTTCGCCTGCAAGGCCGTAGGTTGTGCTCGAGTGTGATGTCGTGACGCCACAGAATCACGTGCTCATGACTTCACAATAAAAAGGAGTGTTGTTTGCGCTGGACCCTGTATTTTCTTTCACTTGCCCTTTGTTATGAGATCACCCCTAAATCAGGAACAGATTTTTTAGCTTTAATGCATAAAAAATGACCCAGCGTTGGTTCTCAGAATACCACATGGACAAGCCAGCCTTCTAATCAGACATTTCTGCAGGTCTGGGACAGGGTGGGGAGGGCTGGAGGCAGCCAACTCTCCTGAGCCCCACTAAGAGCCACACGCTGCTCCAGGCTGTAACTACGGAGACGCCCAGTTCACCCAGTCACCCCTGCATAGAGCTCAGCACACGTCAACTAATTCCATTCTCCCTTATCAGCCCTCAGAGCACGTCTCTACCAACATATCCAGAGACTCAAGCTGGCCCTTCCAATGCTTTAGAGATTATACTGATTTATTTTTAGAGAGAGGGGAGGGGAGGGGAGGAAGAAAAAGAGGCAGAGAAACATCCCTGTGAGAGAAACATCAATCAACATGTGGTTGCCTCTCGTATGCACCCCAACAGGGGACCTGGCCCACAACCCAGGCCTGTGCCCTGACCGGGAATCAAACCGGCGACCCTTTGGTTTGCAGGATGACACCCAACCAACTGAGCCAGAGCAGTCAGGGCTGGCCTTTCAATGTTTTAATAAACTATCAATATTTTAGTAAAACAGACACTGCCTTTTCCATAAATTCATTCATACATATGTAAAAGATTTCCCAAAAAATGCTGACAACGGTTCACTTAGTTTGTACACCGTGTAAAATCACAACTCAAAATTTTAAACCTTTCAAAAACGGATCTTTCCCTTTAGCCACACTCCACTTCTTCCTACTTCCAATTAACGGGGGCGTTTGAAGGTTGCGCCCATAAAACCTGAGTCATGAATAATATCATTTTCCTCCTTCTACTACAGAATTCAAGGTTGAGACTTTGTAAATGGAGAAAAGAGCCCTAGGAGAACACATTTTGGAGGGAGAGCTGCACCGGTCTTCCCCCAAAGCCCGCATAGACAGGCACGGATTTCTAGGTAATCACTCCTTCTCTTCTCAGTGCCAGATGCCTAGCCATCAAAGAAAACATTTTAGGAAAGGAACTGAGGTGCCACAGGGAAAAACCTGCTAAAAAACTTTCATTTAAAGGTTGGAGGTTTTCATTTCATTTAAATATTTGAGGGATGTTTACAGTTTGAGATAAGGGCTCGGAAGTCTACCCCCCCCCCACACACGCACGTTTCTGACAATGTGCTTCACCTGACGACGCGTGTGGCCTCCTTACACACCCGGCAGTGTTTGGTCAGTTCCCTTTTTATGAGGAAACTGTGCTTATGTAAGAAGTTGTTCTTCTCAGGAAATAGGCGCTGAAATTTTAAAAAATATTTTATTTATTGTTAGAGAGAGGGGAAGGGAGGGAGGAAGAGTGTGAGAGAAACATCACTGTGTGGTTGCCTCTTGCACGCCCCCTACTGGGGACCTAGCCCACAACCCAGGCATGTGCCCTGGCTGGGAATCGAACCGGCGACCCTTTCGTTCACAGGCCAGCACTCATTCCACTGAGCCTCACCAGCCAGGGCAGATGCTGAATTTTTTAAGGGTGAGAGGCCATGACTTCCGTATCTTTCTTTCAAACAGTTTCACACATCAATCAGTTAATTAATGGAAAAAAATACATCCACATATGTACACAAATAGAACAAATACAGTAAAATGACACAACGGTTCAATCTAAATGGTGCCTATGTAGGTGTTCATTATACTGTTCTTTAAATGTTTTAGATGCTGGAGAATTTTTCCAATAAAAAAAGAAAAACAATAAAGTAAACTCAAAACTACTTAAAAAATTCTTCTCTTATACACGCCTCCAGAAAACAAAACAAAATGAACAAAACGGAAACGCCTCAAATGATTTATTTATAAAAGCTGCTTTTCGTATGGTGGGTGTGTAGAAAATGATCCCTTTTTCTTTCTGTTTCGTTCTAAACGTCAAAATTTCCAAATTAACAAGTAAAAAGCCTGTGCTTATCTTTGTTCCCTTAAATAAGTTATTTGCTTCAAGGGAAGCTGTGTTGTCTTCAAGGTTAGATAGGGAAATATCGGCCTCCTTGAACATTTCTATGCTCCCTTTACTCTAGAGATAAGTTTGAGCTCCTCCTAGAAAAAAGTCATAAATTAATATCCTCAAACTCTGGCAAATGGCTGTAGTCATACGCTGCAGGACATCGGTGATGTGAGAAGCCACTGTATTTGCTACGGAAGTAAGACGGTGTGCCAAAATTAGAAGCTGCAATGAGAAGCTGATAGGCAGAAGAGAGAATTTGAATTTTTTTTCCTGAAAAAAAAATTGTTTTTCTTTGCTGCTGGCAGAGTATTACTTCAACATTTCAAATTATCGACTATATGACTTGAGTACAGTGCTAACCTCGACTCCGAACACAGCTCCTTCTTACCTCCTAGGCAGCCAATGAGGGACAGCAGGACCAACTGTTTCCATGACAACACCATCTTTAACTGCCCGGAGCAAGGACCACTCTCGTCCAGTCTCTGATGAGCAGGATGCTTTGTCTTCGGGAAAATCCCTTAATCTGTCAAAGATACGTACAAGGAAGTTAAGACTTGAAAAATGGGTTGCCTTAAATAATAGATTTTCTTCTTTTCATAAAACTGTAAGTCACTCAAAACCCTAAGTGAAAGGAGTATTTTTTGACGCACGAGAGAAGGTATATGAAACATAAACACTCAAAAAAACACCGTATGTCAGTGGGAGGCAAATGGGAGTGGCTTCGCCAGACCGAAAATGCGCAACGATGCTAAAACAGTAAACACCAAGGCATTAAATATTAACACTCTGGCCAGATAATAAATGCAGCAAATAAACTATAACCTGAAACGCCAACTTTTCTCCTTCTCGCTAAAGACGACACGGTGGCAGAACTCAGAGGGCCCCCCCGCGAGCAGGGTCCGGGAGCACGGCCTGCCGTGGCCCCGACCGACCAACCGACCGAGGGCCCCGGCCAGGCTGGCGGGTTGGAAACGTCGCCACTTCCGACGCTCGGGGCCAGCGCACAGTCAGGCAGCTCCCGGCCACCACGGCCTGAAACTGGCCCAACACGCTCGGGGTGGAGACTCGGGGTGAACACGGCCACCCTGCAGAGGAGGCCGTGTTCCTCCTCTTCTTCCCCTTCGTCCCCCCGACCGACGCAAGCGTGCTGCCGGAGGGGACGGCCTGGGTCGTTTTCTGCGGCCAGTGGACCCCGGTCGTCCTGCCTGCTCCGAGGTCAGCAGGCCAGCGGCACCCTGGCCCCAGGGACCCGCTCCGATGGGGACACCAGAGGAGGGGGGGATCCTCGCCCCGGCGGGAAGGCGCCCTGCCCGGACTCCGCAGCGGCAGTGGGGGCGGGGCCAGGCAAGCTGCTGCAGCACCAGGGAGAGGAACCTCAGCTTTCCCGAGACCGAGGCTCTCAGAAATGGGGTCTGACCTGGGACGTCATGTGTCCAGTGAGCACTGTGTCCCAGTAACCCGTCAAAGTGGAAACAGAGCAACGGCCCCGGGTACGTTGTTAAAATGACAAACTGACCCAGCGGCTCCTGGAGTGACCCTGGGTGTCCACCTGCCATTGAGCGCATGGGGATGGGGGGGCCAGATGCAGGGTTGGCAGCTCTGGCCCCGCCCACAGGACCTGGGCCCAGGGGCCTGCAGCTGGGTCAGCGCGTCCTCCGCCCCGTCCCCGGTGACACGCTGCACGCGTCTCAGTCCAGGTTCCCATCGGTGCACGGGCCGAGACGTGGCCTCCCACGCAGGCAGGCTGCCCAGCAGGCGAGGGAAAGCACGGTCGGGGCCGCGGGAGGTGGGCGGGAAAGGCAGGCGGCCGCGAAGGTTGGACACGCAGCCACCAACCGTGGGGACGCGCACTCCCCCCGGGCAACGCCGGCGGCGTCCGGCACACCAGGCCGGTGACTCGGGCTGGGAAGCTGTTCTCGACGGCGTCGGGTGCCAGGCTCGGAGGGCCGACGGCCGGGTGCTTCCTTCCGTCGGTCCGTGGGGGGCCGCACTGCCCACCCAGTCCCTGCACGGCGGACGGGGCGTGCAGACGCAGCTGCCTCCCTTCACTCCGGCTCCATCGGCGACACGCTCCTGGTCACGAGTGAGAACCGGACCACCCCCGACTCGACGCACAACCGGCGCCGCGTAACCCCCGCCCCTCCTTCTAACCTCGTGTGTGTGTGTGTGCGTGTGTGTGTGTGTGTGGTGGGGAGGGGGCGGCGCTCAGCAGTACCCAGGCTGGCGAGTCCCCCCCCCCGCCTGTCCTGTTCACGGCTGCTCCCCTCCCACCTCCGGGCCGCCCAGACCCCACCCCCACCCCCGGACCCCCAACTAAGGGCTAGCGTTGGACTCAGGGGGGTGCGGACCCCTACTGCGAGGTCAACGTCTGGCAAAGGCCTTGGGACTCGGGTTCAGGGTTCGGGGTTCGGGGCAAGAGCAGAGAGCAGACGCACGGGAGAGACGCGGGGGAAAGGAGGCTGCCGACCCGTGAGGAGCTGGGCCTCACTCACAGGTGCCCGGCTGCGGCCCCGGCCTCGGGGTGAAGCCCTGTGAGGAGCCCCCGCGGTTCTGACCAGGCGTCACGCGACCCGATTCACAGCGGGCATCCCCTTCACACGTGCCATCGCCTGTGCCCACCCCCTTCACACGTGTCATCGCCTGTGCCCACCCCCTTCACACGTGTCATCGCCTGTGCCCACCCCCTTCACACGTGTCATCGCCTGTGCCCATCCCCTTCACACGTGTCATCGCCTGTGCCCATCCCCTTCACACGTGTCATCGCCTGTGCCTACCCCCTTCACACGTGTCATCGCCTGTGCCCACCCCCTTCACACGTGTCATCGCCTGTGCCCATCCCCTTCACACGTGTCATCGCCTGTGCCCACCCCCTTCACACGTGTCATCGCCTGTGCCCACCCCCTTCACACGTGTCATCGCCTGTGTCCATCCCCTTCACACGTGTTATCTATCACCTGTGCCCACCCCCTTCACACGTGTCATCACCTGTGCCGGGCTTAAAGGAGCAAAAAGGAAGCACGCTTTCCAACACGCCTGCTTCACCCTGCCCCCGAATTCGCCGAATCACAGGCGGGAGAACCTTAGGCGGCTGGCCCGGTGGGAGAGGAAAACGCACACACGCGTGTGCTCTAACGTTCTCAGAGAGGCACACACGCATGCGCACTCTGTAAAGTGTGAGGATGGAGAAACGTCTCGTCCAGGAACATTATGGCTAAAAAGCGTGTTGCTCGTTTCTCGTCGGCGCTAAGGAGGGCGCTGGCTCCCTGAACAGTTACAACTTGGCAGGGCTGCCGAGAGCCCTCGCAGAGGGAAGGGCCGTGCGAGAGCCGGTCCCGCTCCCGGAATCGCTGAGCTAAAGAACTGCAGCTGGACCTGGCTGCCGTAGCTCAGTGGATTGAGCGCGGGCTGCGAACCAAAGCGTCGCAGGTTCGATTCCCAGTCAGGGCACATGCCTGGGTTGCAGGCCACGGCCCCCAGCAACCACACATTGATGTTTCTCTCTCTCTTTCTCCCTCCCTTCCCTCTCTAAAAATAAATAAATAAATCTTAAAAAAAAAAAGAACTGCAGACGGAGCCGCCAAAGCCAGACATACACACAGATCAAAACGTCGTCGGCCCAAAAGGAGTGTTCGCTGCTCACGGGAATGTTTTCGGTCCAAGAACACGCGGGTGCCCTTGGGGTGTTCTCGGCTCGGGGACACCTGCATCGAGTGGCTGGAGCTCTGTGGAGCCAGAGCATGATCCTGCCGGCTCCTCCACACGGCCCCCCGGACCCGGGGCAGACTGGACACTGGGCCAGCTGCTCTGGACATCCGCCGAGCCCCCAGACACGCCGGACTCTGGCCCGAGGCCTTGGAGGCTCTCGGTGGCTCCTGGTTTCTGCCCTGAGACCGCCTGTGGCTTGTGCCACCCGCGACCCCAAACTGCCGCGGAGGTCCTAGATGGCGACCCGCGGATGCGCACGGACGGGGCAGGCGTGCGGGCCCCTCCGACTGCGGCCGGGGCAAGCGCTCGGGGCGGGGCCGAGGCTGCTCTGTGTGCGCGGGAAGTGCGGCCCGGAAGTGCCTCCCCCCTTGGCCCCGCTCCCGCCGGACCCGAGCGGCGGGGACCTGCCCAGCGCCCTCCTTTCAGGGACGCGCCCCCCGGCACCTCCACTCGGGAGGGCGACGCATGCGACGCATCGCTCACCTCCAACGGCGACGCCGAGAAACAAACCCCACTCTCAGACAGGCACTGTAGCCGGCACCCGCAACCGGCCCCTGCCCTCCAGCCCCTCCCCCCAAACCCCACGCCCTTGAGCACATTCGAGACTGCGAGTGCAGGGAAACAGGCGGGGATGGGGAACCGCTCCACGCCCCACGCTGTCTGCACTCGGGGTCTCCCAGGACAACTCCAGCCCCCGGCGCGGACGCCACCAGGGCGCCGTGGCACTCATACGGCGGTGAGCCGTGCGCCCCCACTGAGCAGAACTCGGCACGACCCACCCACCGTCTCCATCCTCAACCCCCTCACTCAGGATCCGCCCCTCTCCCGCGGACGCCGCCTGTCCACCCTGCCCGTGTCCTCGAACCCTGGGTCTCCTGCTGGGACGGAACCAGACCGAACGCTGGGCTCCCAGAGTCCGGACGACGCCACGCACGACCCCCACAGGTGACAGGTGTGCGGTGGGGAAGGAGGGGGCCCTGCAGGGAGCCCCTGCGAGGTCACCCTCCCCCCCCCCAGCGGCTCTGGGTCCACAAGACACGGAAGGTCCGTGCTGCCAGCCCCCCCCTCCCTCCCTGTGACCCGCCACGCTCCCCCGCCTTCCACCGGAGGGAGACCGCGCTCGCTCCTCCGCGCTTGCTCCTCCGAATGACATCTTGTGGGACACAGGCACCCGGGCCCTTGCGAGTTCAGTCCCTTTGGAGAGCCCGCCCGATCTCCAAACACACCCAGGCCGACATGGGCTGACACGCTCTGTGATGCATTCTCACCCCCGGCACTTCCCAAAATAAACGGGGAACCGAGCAAACAGACTCCTGTAACCGCAGAGGCCGAGGGGCTTCCTCCGCTGCGTCTCCCACGGGAGGGCCCCGGAGCCCCAGGCTCCGCGAAAGGGACTCACGGCCAGCTCACCAACCACGTCCCCGCCGCCGCAGACCCCGCTGGGGTTCCAGCACAGCCGCGCCGCATCGCTGGGTCTGAGCGTTTTCCACAGAGGGAGACGAGGTCCCAGGGGCCTCCCGACGGCCGGCTCGGGCTGCGTGCCGGTCACGCCCATCGGTCCTGAGCCCCTCCGTCCCCATGTCCGCCCACGAGGGGCTTCTGCTCCAGCCCCCTGTTCTGCTCCGGCCCCCGGTTGTGGATAAAGAGGCTGAGACTCAGATGAGGTGAGGAACCCCCTCCCGGAGGGCGGGCACGGAGGCAGAACCCCAACCTCCCGATGGGTCCGGCACGCCGCAGGCGTCCCCAGGCCCGACCCGCGGGGGACCAGGAAGCGGGACCCGGTGCCCTCCCTGTGTCTCGGGCACCG